CCTCCTCAGGTGGCAGCGAGACTGGGTGCGAGGGAGGAAGGGGAGCGGCGGTGCGAACAGGGGCGCCCCCCGTGTCGCGAGAGGAGGGGCGACGCGGGGGGGGGGGGAGCTTCGTTCCAGTGGATTTTGATTTGCCTCCCTTTTCTGCAAAGGCGACTAAAAATGAATCTAATAATCAATCAGTTTGTGAGATTATTTGCCCCTACAAGTTTTGCTTGAGGCCAGGAAACCTAACAGCCTCCGCCTCCTCCCATCCGAACTGCAGCCGCATCCTACCTCTCCGTCCTCTCTTCTCCTCGGTGCTGCTAGAGACTAGTGGCCGGGCTAAGTCTGACACTGGTCGATGAAGGCGACGACGGGAAGATCTCTACTCTATTAACCTTCGTTGTTAAGATGTGATATATGGGCGACTTAAGGCAGACGTTATGGCTGCGCAACGGTGAAGGTGGTGTTTCTGGCCGGGTCGATGGTCTCTGGTGGCGAGGCATCGGAGGTCGTGATCCCATCTACAGCTATGAGGGCACAATGACAACCTTCTTCGTCCCAACAAGGTGGTCCTCTGCTTGGGCGAGCAGATGGCGGTGTCGTCCTGCACTGCTAGGCGGTTGTTGCAACGGGCTGGAGGATCTTGGACCTTCAGATCCAGGCAACGACGAGTATGTTTTGCCGAGGGTAGGTGGCTATACCTTTTCTACCTACTCCTCTTCAATTCCAAAAGATACACATCATTTTTATAGACTCCACTACAAATCTGACATGAGATTTTTTTGAAGGAAATATGCCCTAGAGGCAATAATAAAGTTATTATTTATTTCCTTATATCATGATAAATGTTTATTATTCATGCTAGAATTGTATTAACCGGAAACATAATACATGTGTGAATACATAAACAAACAGAGTGTCACTAGTATGCCTCTACTTGACTAGCTCGTTGATCAAAGATGGTTATGTTTCCTAGACATAGACATGAGTTGTCATTTGATTAACGGGATCACATCATTAGGAGAATGATGTGATTGACTTGACCCATTCCGTTAGCTTAGCACTTGATCGTTTAGTTTGTTGTTATTGCTTTCTTCTATACCTACAAATAAAGCAAAGTGCGTTTCTCCAATTTTTTCATCCGTTCACCATAAAAATATTTTTTCTATATCCGAGGTGGTACTAATTGTTTTTGAGAATTTGTCCAGAATTTCGTACATGGGCTGCACGCGTTAAGGCCCAGAAAAGTCACCCATTTATTTCCTGCACATGCAGCTGGGAAACCTTATTTGTCGCACGAAGCGACATATAGTTCGAGCTTCCCATCGGTCGCCCAATGTAGGGCCGGCCCTTTTTCATTTTTTATGTGGTCCTTTTCTATTTTTTCCCTTCAAAGTTATTTTTTCCTTTTCCCATAAAATTTATTTTTTAATTTTCGTAAATTTCTTTTTATACTAATTTTTGTTAGATCTTAGCATTTCAAAAATTATTCGTACTTTCAAAAATATTTGGAACTTTTAATTTTTTATTTTCGTTCAAAATTTATTTGAAATTAAAAAAAGTTCACATTTTCGCAAAAAGAATTCAAATATTGTTCGGGATTTGTAAATTAATTTTCATTGCAAAAAAATTGAAATTCGAAAATAAATAAATTTTGCAATCCATCTACTAGAAAAGAAACAAAAAGAGTTTTGTCCCGAATTTCATACCTGGGCCAGACGCGCTAAGGCCCAGAATAGCCACCCATTTATATCCTACGCACGCAGCTGGGAACATTAGTTATCACACGAAGCGTCATATAATTGGAGCTTCTCATCTGGCGCCCAATATTGGGCCGGCCTGTTTCCACTTATTTTCCTTTTCTATTTTTCTTTTTTCGCTTTCAAGTTATTTTTTTTCCTTTTTACATAAATTTATTTTTTTAATTTTCGAAAATTTCGTTTCTTGTACAAATTTTCGTTAAATCTTAGAATTGCAAATTTTCTTTCCATTTTCAAAAATATTTGGAACTTTAAATTTTTTATTCTCTTTCAACATTTGTTTGACATTCAAAAAATGTTTGCATTTTTTCAAAAAGAATTCCAAAATTGTTCGAGATTTGTAAAATAAATTTCATTTTATAAATAATAGAAATTAGAAAAATATTTTTTATTGAAATGGCCACAAATTGAAAATAATGTTCGTGATTGAAAATACATTTTTAAAATTGTTTTGAATATTCAAAACAAGTTTCCATTTTCAACAATTCTTCACAAATTCGAAAAATGTTCATTTCTCTCACCTTAGAAATGATCATATTTTCAAAAAATGTTTGTGTATTTTAAAAATATTTCTATTTCAAGTTTTATTTTTCTTTTTCTATAAATTAATCATTTTTCAAAAAATATGTTCGCAGTTTTTTTAGAAAAATCAGAAGGTCACCACAACCTTGACAAGGAGGCGGACTTGAAGGAAAAAAACACGAGTTGGTTAGTGGCCGCCACTCCGACCAACTCCACTACTACAAAGATCTTGTGGGCCAAACATGACCCACGAGAACACCACAACTCTCTACTCTATCGCCCCACTATTGTGGAGACCATTTTGATGGACACATCAATTATCTCTCCCGATGTTGCTCGCAAAAAAATCTCTTCCGTTGTAACGCACGGGCATATGTGCTAGTCAT